TTTGCGGGACTGGGGTGTGCTGATGGGGCGGGGATCGATCCCTCCTCCCCTTGAGCCTGTTTGACTCTGCGTGCTGATGGGACTGTATTTGTATGAGTATCACGGACACACAGACGAGTGTTACGGTTAATGACAGTTTCCCCCCCTGCAATCCATGGGCACAGAGAGCGGGGCATTAGTGGGTGCGTTGCGTCACACATACATGGCTCATTTCCTCTCGTACGTGGCCGGGTGTGTTGTGCTTGCGCAGATGCAGAATAGCGGCCAGTTTGCCAACGTGCTCGAGCGTAAGCGACGTCAACATGGAAACAGTACGTATCTGCTGCTGAATGTGATCCTTTTTTGATTCAGTTGAACATATGATCATGGAGCTCCCCGACATCAAAAACTGTCCCAATGTGATGTCGTCGTTGGGCTTCGTGGACGACCCCTTCGAGGACAGGGCCTACCTGATCATGGAGTACGGCGGCCCCACGCTCGACACGAAGCTGTGGGACCACCGGCAGGACGGACTGCCGCGCAACGAGGCCAGGGACATCAGCAGCCAGCTCGTCAACGCACACAGGGCGCTGCACAGGGCAGGAGGTGAGGAGAGCCGCCACATCAGATAGAGGAGAGAGGAAAAAAGGCAGGATCACTCCTTGACCTTCTCACGCGTGTGTGTGTGTGTGTGATGGATACAGTGATATATCGCGACCACAAGATGGACAACGTGGTGGTGGGTGCCGATGGGAGGGTGCGCCTCATCGACCTGGGGTGCTTCAAGGAGATGGGCGAACAGTGGTACCCCGCAGACCTGAACTCAGTAAGCAGACAGACACACGCGCAATCGCAAGAAAGCGACGCGCACGCATGGCCGTTGTCTCTCATTGGCTTGGTTCCGTCGGCTTGTGCAGTGGGTCCGGGGATTCCGGCGGACGGAGGTGCTGCTGAAGCAACAGTACGGCCTCAAGGCCGACATCAGCGCCCTGGGCCAGCTGTTGTTCTGGACCGCATACGAGCGCTCGCCCTTTGGCCAGAGGGTGGTCAACGGGCAGGCGGTGGACGTGGCCAACAATGCTGAGGCCTTGCGGGAGATGATAGATGTGTACGGCCCGCCCACACCGCACGGAGGGA